GCCACTACTTACTGTCCTTTTTCTTAGATTTTTTATTTTATTGAAAAACATGGTGGTAGCCAGGGTGAGGGTGAGATTTTTTGACATTCACTTCCAATAATTTATTATTGAGTCCCGTTTGATTCTTATTTTTCTCAAAATGCATTTTTTTCTCTCTTCTTTTTAATTACACATTCTTTATTAAAATAATATTACACGTAAATCAAAAACTTTTCATTCACACATTCTCCATTAATTTACCATTCTAAAATTCACTTTTCCATAAAAATGGGTGCCAAACACCCTTTAAAGTTCCATTGAAGGCATTGATATACTCAATTAAAACAAATAGAACTTGTAATCTAATTTTCTTGAATTTTGTTTAGTCTCTAAGACGACCCTTTAAGAAGGCTGGGATGTTCATTGGGACCAAGAGAGTTTTTAAAGGAATTTGGTTAAATCATTACAATGGCCCCATAAAAGTTTTTATGTTTGTCTACTCCATATCACGAACGTAGATTTAAATCCCATTTTGATTTAGTTAAAAAAATTGATTACAATAAAAATTAAAGTCATCAATTGTTTTTTTATTGCTCATCTCATAGGATCCAAAACTTTTATCAACTTTACAATCACATATTTCATCAACGTTAATCAAAATTTACTAAAAAATAATTTTAGCAAAATCAAACAGGGGGCCAAGTATAACTTTAAAATAAGTAAGAAGTATTTTATTATTATTATTATTATTATTATTATTATTATGATCATCATCATCATCAAGTGTTGTACAAAACTTATATTGTTAAAGTGCTTCAGAAATGAAATAAGTACTTTCCGAAAATTCATGGCAAATTGTTTTAGTTCATTCCGTGGGTTTAAATGGTTCGCACGGTGCAATATCTAATTTCAAGCATTTTCTATTTTGGTAAAGAGACATTAGACAATTTGCATCCAACTATTGAAGTTTTATATTCATTTAAATTTAGCCCATGATAGGCAGGGATTAAATTTCAAATTTTAATTTAAATTGAAGTCAACGATTAATTTTAATCATATATTTTATAGGACCAAAAACATTTCAATATCATATTTCATTAATTTTATCAAAATTTACTAAGGATCTTATTTTCATTATGATCAAGTTTGAACTTAATAATTTTTTTTTTTGTCCGAAATGCATCTTTGGTTACGAATTCATATGTACTTGAGATGTCCTGTCGAAGAATAAAAATTGTTAGTGTATGTGATAAATTCTAGGAACAAATAATTAGCATGATCAACTAATATCTTAGTGTAGAGTTGGGTAATCAAAATGATATCTCCACTTACATTTTTAAATAGTCTTTTGTCTCTTTCCCTAGAAGAAAGAAAACCTTTTAGATTTCAACTAAAATCAAATCCTCTTGGCTAAGTTTAAGGTAATTTTTCTGAAAAAAAAAATGGTATCGACAAATTCAAAAAAAAAAAAAAGGAAGAAGAAGAAGAAGAAGAAGAAGAAGAAGAAAAAGTTACTTGTAGAAAACCTCATACCTAGTTAACAAATTTATTTTTACAAGGAACTTTTAAACTTAGTCGAGCATGCAATTCACGAACACTTGACCATAGGATAAAAACGCATCGCATGATAGAAAAAACAATTATTTTGAAATGTCGTTATAGGTTCATGTTCATTCTAGCAAATCTATAGACAACATATATATAAGGTATGTTCAATAATTCTCAAAAATTAATTATCAAATAACTAACAATTTAATCATAGAATGCGTATGATGAAACTATACATGCTTGAAATCTATTAAGAACATAATATTGGTTTTTTAAGTTGGGCAAACATAATGAGAGAGAGAGAGAGAGTTGCGAAAAATGATATTTTTTTGATAGGTATTTCAATACTGGCTAAAAAAATTTGCCCCGCGAATAATAACTTTTTTTTTTTAAATATTACTAGTAAATTGTTGAGTGGAATAAGAACTCCAATAAGAAAAAAATACTTGATTTGCAATTATCCACGCATACTTAATTATTAAAGTGACATAAAATAATCATGATTACTGATATGACTATTTGTGCACCGTACAAAATTTTCGACTAGAGGTACAAAATTCATATTATAAAGTTAAAGATAAGATTGATAATACATAAACAATCCTGCTTGAAATATAGGACCTGTTTCACAGGTCTCTACCAGAGTACACACACGAAGTGGGGCTCGTTGCATTTTTTTTATTACATGTGGGGCCCGCCTGCTACAGTGATGGACTTGGCACGCCCCCTGTGAATTAATCCTTTATACATAAAATAGTGAAGTTGACAAGTAATTGAGTGGAATAACAGCACTAATGAACTAAAAAGTGTAAATAGATCACAACTGCTTTTTTGATTGGGTGATTGAAGTAAAACAAAATGTAAATTTCATGGACCACTTTGAAATAAAATAAATTAGGTGATTAACATAAAACCTCACCACAACTTGAATGTATACCAATTTTTATTTTACCCTTGAAAAAATAAGATTATTAAGAACGTTTTCAAAATTTAGCTACAAAAATTTCCTCTTTTCAATAGATTTAGGCCGATTAGCTAAATTTCTTTTTATCACTCAAGTTCATTCATCGCTACATCTATCGAAAGGTCTAATCCTTCTGGTCGGAAGAACAAAACTAAAATTTTCACATCAAACATTTCATAAATTGTCAACTTCAAATTTCTTTTCACAATCTACTTGAACTAATATTCCACGAATCATGCAAAATCACTCCACACGATAAATTATCCTGTACAATTGATTTGATATTTTGATCTAAGATTTGTCCTATTTAAATAGATCCCCTCGAGCCTGTTGTACAACAGTAACTCTCAACATAGAAGCTAGAAGGAAATATAATTGGAAATTGCTGTTTGTAAAGTTCATGTAGGACTGTACATTTACAGTTCTCTCTCTCTCTCATCAGTGGAGTCCGTAATTATTTTAATCGTGGACCTCACGTCTTGTGTGTAAGTATGATGTGAACCATGCTGTAAATTATGCTGTACCCATAGCACATCTCAATATAATTTATCCATCAATTATTACATATGAATGACAAAGCAAATTTCTAAGCGGTTTGCAAAATCCTTTAGGTCTGTTTGATTACAAAGATAGAACTGAATTGAATTGAAAACGAATTATAGGGAATTGAATTACCTAAAAATTATTTTCCTGAAAATTGTAAATTATTGTGTTTGATTAGTATAATTTTTCACATGCAAATGTTAAAATAAAAGTATTTTTTATGTTCGTTTGGCTTTTTTACATGAAAATTATTAATTAAATGGATATATTTTACTGGTATTGGGAATAAATTTTGTTCCCATTGCCAACAAAAAAATCATCTAACTTTTGTTATTCGTTTGACTTTGTTTTACATCGAAATTGCCAATTAAAGTGAATTTTTTTTTTTACAATAATTCTTAGAATTTGTTTCCATTGCAAAAAAAAAATAATAATTAAAAACTGTGAACAGTGCCTGGAAAATCAATTCCCACCACAAAACCATGAAAAATACAATTTCCAAGAAAAGCAAGAACCCAAATTCCATAGAAAAAATAGGATATCAAACACTACAAAATGAGTGGAAAATGGATTTTGAATTCAATTTTACATGGAATTGGCCCCTATCAAACATGGCCTTAGAATAATTCTGTGAAATGGTGAAGATTTGTTCTCTTGAATGTTCAAATATTGTTCCAACTTTCAACTGTAAATAAAAGTTTGCAATCATCAAATATCTTTGAACGCAAGTGGAGGGCTTTCCTTTTTTTCTAAGAGTGGACGCGGTCCAGTTCGGTCCGGTTCTAAAAGGAACCGAACCAAATCGGAGCGAATACCAATGAGAATTTTAGAAATGGAACCATTGGTTCCATTGTTAGCTATGGAATCGGTTCCGGTTCGATCCGGTCCGCTTCTTTACATAAAAATGTCGAAATAAAATGTTTACTAATAAGAAATCTAAAGAAACTACCAATGTGATACTTTTAAAAAAATATAGAAGAACTGAACATATTATACAAAGATTAAAAGAAAACTAAGTATACAAATTTTAAAACAATATGCAAATAATATAAGTTACTATTATCAAACAAATATTAACTTATATAAACCGTCTAGTACTTCAATGATTAAAAAACTTTCATCAAAATGAAAACAAAATAAAAGTGTTTGGAGAGTAAGTCATATATTTTACTGAAAAAAATGCCAACCGAAGGGTCCCTTTTTAACAATTTCTTGAACTTTCGGGTAATCACAATTCAATATTTTTCTCAAGTATTTAATTAAAAAATGACATATGAACTATATACATAAACATTCGTTTCATTTTCATATGTCACTGCCTTTTGCTTATATTGTTATACTACAGTTTTTTTTTTTTTAAATTTTGTTTTACTTTGATGGAAGTTTCTTTTTACTTTAAGAGTAAGTCATATATATTACCAATTTGGTTTCGGAACAAATTGGAGAGTAAGTCTTATATTTTACAAAAAAAGAAAAAAATGCCCACTGAAAAAAATTCTATGAGAACTGTTCGATTCCCCGCGGTTCCCATACTAGAACCAAGAACCGGATTGGAATCGATCGGTTCTTAATAATTTGTCCCGAAACCAAATTATTTTTTAGAAGAACCAGAACCGAACCGGCCGGTTCTAAACGGTTCCAGTTCGGTTCCACCGATTTCGGAAAAAAATTCCTACTACTTTTTTCCGTCTAAGATCTTTGAACGACAAGAATTAATTAGGGTGTGTTTGTCATCCATTATTTGAGAAGAATGTATTATGGAATAGTGATTGATGTTGACACGTGTGGTTAAAAAAAAAAAAGACAATTTTTTGATTTACTTGAATATTATTTTAATGAAGAATGTGTGATTGAAAATGAGTACTGTAAAAAAAATAATAGGAAAAATGGAAGAAAATAGATGACCAATAGGGGCTTAGATATGAGTTAAATAGGTGAAATATTTAAATTAGAAAAATATTTAAGTCAAAATCGGTCCTCGATCACTCCGGTATTCACCGGGGGCTTTTTAAACCAATAATTGGAGGAGTTTCTATCTTTTTTCTGTTTAGTTTTGTTTTCTAAATTAATTAGTGCTGGACTATGGAGAATTTAATTGGTAAAATTCGAAATCTCGACGCCTACCCTAAGATCAATGAGGATTTCTACAGCAGAACCCTGTCTGGAGGTGTCATAACTATCGTTTCCTCTATCGTCATGCTCCTTCTCTTCATCTCCGAGCTCAGTCCGTCTCACTCTCCCCTCTCTCTCTCTCTCTCTATTTGTTTTTTTATTTTTATTTTTTTTTATGCTTTAGATAGAAATTGGAACAGCTTTTTAGTGTTGATTTTGTACATATAGATGTAGTAGTCTGTGAATGTAATTTTTGTGGAAATTGGTTGAAGTTACACATGTCAACATTATAGTTGTATAGAAAGTGAAAATGACAGATAGTTCTTGAGAGGAGAAAGTATTTAGAACTAGGTTGCTTTTGGGTTCGTGTAATACATACATATTGGGTAGAAGTTGAAATCTGGGAGCAATATTTATTGGATTCTAGAATTTGGATCCTTTGAGCAGGTATTTTTGGACAGGTTCATCTTCTTAGCGAGATTAGGGGCTGTTTATTGGGGGAACAAGTGGGGCGTGAGTTTTTATTGCTAAAGTTTAAGTACATTTCACCCTTAAAAAGGAAATCCGTAACTTTTTTCTTCATATAAGTTCAATGGAAAATTAGTTGTTCTTTCTCTCCCTCAGTAAAGAAGTTGCTGGGATTCTACTAAGGCCTAGAATTATATCTCAACCTGTTTTGTCCCTTCTGAATGGCAATCTTGGGTCTTATGATAGGCTGATAGTCTGATTAATGTTTCATTGGAGTTCACTTTTATGTATGTTACATAATGATCAGTGTAGTTGTTGGAGCTTAATTGTAATTTGAGAGTGAAATATTTATATTGATGGTGAATAAAAAATGTAAAGAAACAGTGGACAATAATTTGTGCTCCAAAAGTAAGTACCATGAGTTTCAGTGGATGTTTGTTCGATTATTTGGGCTGTCAAAGGCGTTTTCAACAAAACTGACACCTCTTATTTGAATCAGTAGGTAACTTCATCAATTCATGCTTTCAGCTCGTAGAGTTTCTATTGCAGAGTTAATAGTCATTGGAAATTTTTTGGAGATCCCTCTTTTGCATCTCTGAACTGTTTGACATATACTTCTCATTAAAAGAGTGTTATAAGATTAGATTAATATCTCGAGTACAAAAATAGAACCACGCTGATTGGTCATAAAAATATTAATTATAAATTTTTATTAGTGTTGCAAGGTAATAAAATTGATGTCACCTTTAAGATCTTTTTTGTGAACTTTATGCAAAGCTCTGGTAGGACAATATGGGCGGGATAAAGTGATGATGAAAATGACGGAAAATTATTGGCAACAATATGTTCTTGCCAAGTAAGGGAAGATTAATTGTTTAGAGCAAGATAAAACAAGGAAAGAAGATTAGCACCTGTTCTTGGTGTTGATAAATAGTCTTCAAGAACAAAGAATCGTGACTTTTCTTATTTCTGAGGGTTCAGTGGTAGGGTTATAAAGAATAGATCCTTGGACTTGATAATTGAATGTGCTAGGAATCTGAAGAAGCTGTTCCCAAAGTGTGGGGAAACAGTTTCAAGGAGATGATTACCAAAGAAAGAATACGGTACAAAGAAACTATGAATCACATCGATTACTCACAGTGGAGAACACTTACAATATGAATTTCATTTCTTGAGTTATTTAGGCTTCAAAAGAATTTAAAATATTTTTGTTGAACTGTGCAAGAATTTAAACTCAAACGCTGAAAGAGATTCAGAGACAGAATCATTCACCAATGCCCTGTTCCCCCCTAGTCCCTACAGTGCTTTGGCAAAATGAAATGTCATTTAATGGCCTGGAGGAAATTGTAATATTTTTCTGTCTGAGAACAAAGATGGCCCTTTCTGTATGATTTTTACGGTTTTAGCTTATGTTAGCATGGAATTCATCGGGAGAGTTTCATCTTTCATTGAGTTGCAATGCCCTGTGTTACGATTGAAATTTTGTTTGTTTCTCTTCTCTCCATATTCTTAGCTATTGTAATTTCACTCTATTTTGCAGGATTATATCTTCATGCTGTGACTGAGACAAAGTTAGTGGTAGACACATCAAGAGGAGAAAGACTCCGGATCAATGTAGAATCCATTTCTTGTAATTACTATTTTTTGACATCACACAGCTGAAAACTATTGTGTTCTTAATCTCAGTAGTCTCTCCTTTTCATTGCCCTACTCTCTTTAAGTACTATGTGTCGGACCTTTTTGATTTTTATTTCCTTCCTGAGCGTAACATTTGTTACCCGATTATTAGAATTATGTACCTCATCTTCGGCTCATTTATGGCGTTGAATTTATATTTTTTTGAATAAATCAGTGAAGTTGTAATTAAAATATAAAAACAATTTATGGGCTCTAGATGAATTCAAGCCTCTCACAGAGAACAAAGCTTGTATCACGTGCTGGAGCTTGTAGCTTTTTTCCAACTGAAATCTGATGCAGCTAATAGCTGAGGCATCAAATAGTCTACATTCAAGTTCGACTTAGGTTTTGCTTGGTAAAAAGCTTGTTGAAATATTGGCTTAAACCAAATGAGTAAAATCTTGAGTACATTTTTGCAGTAGTTATATTACTCCGAGATTGAGCAACCTAATAGCAAAACTCAAGCCAACTCATCCAGATCACTCTCTGCCATATAATTCACTTTTGATTCATCTCATTTTTCTCATGTTTGTTAGTTTCCATAAGATTGATCATGTATACTCTCCTTCTTGGCATTGCAGTTCGATGTGACTTTTCCAGCACTTCCATGCTCCATACTCAGTGTTGATGCCATGGATATAAGTGGAGAGCAACATCTTGATGTTGTATGTACTTCTTGGAGAATATAACTACTCCGTACTTAGAGTTCTTTATTCATAAACAGGACATTTTGTATTTATGTAAATGTTAACTCACACAAGCACACTTGTACACATGTTATGTGTGTGTGTGTTGAGTGTGGATTGTGGTGAAAATACGATAGCATTTAAGCACATCTCTGTTCTTTTCAAATCCCTCCAGTTTGCTTGACATATAGATCGTTTTTCTATAAAATATTAAACATGATTCAACCTTATCATATATTTTCTTCCAACTAGAAATCTAATAATGGATGCCCATCTTGCCATATTGCTTTTGAGTATTCCAAGCTAAGGAGTTAGAAAAAAATGCTGATGGCCAAAATATATGGATATGCCAAGGAGTCATCGAATTTAAGAGATTTGTGTAAAATGGTGATTTTTTTCAGTGTCGCCAACTCTGTTGTTTATAGATTTCTGGTTATCGAAGTGATGTTGAATTACATTTACTATTGCAGAGACATGACATCATCAAGAAAAGGATCGATGCTCATGGTAATGTAATAGAAACAAGGCAGGATGGTATTGGTCATCCCAAGGTAAATCACTAGATAAACCTTGTAATGGATGTTTAAAGATGCAGACTTTATTCATTAAGAGGATTTTTTTCATGCTGTGGTACTCAATATTTAGTTACTCAGAGTCAGGAATGGTAGTGTATGTCAGCAATATGAATTAGCAGAACTGTCGATAGTTAGGTGGCAAAAGAATTGGTCATCTTTTTCTCTTTTGCAGCCATTTTCATAGTTGTTTTTTAAAATTTTTTTTATTAGGTACTTATTTCATTACTGACAGATTGTTTTTCCTATGTTATTTTGTAACTGGCATAGATCGAAAAGCCTTTACAGAGACATGGAGGAAGGCTTGACCACAATGAAACATATTGTGGATCATGTTACGGTGCAGAAGCGGTATGCTTATTTTATGAATTTAGTGGTGAATAATTTTGTTTTTTAGATGATGCGAAATTTATGGATCGTGATGAATGAATAAAAGGCTGTAACATTAACAGATATATTCTTTTCAAAACTTCAGTAGTTTTCCGTGCATTATGAGTTTTCGTTCTATTATATTTTTCATTTTATAGTCTTCTCTGCCTTCCAATTTGTCTGTTTTGCTTGCTTCCTTCAGTTGATTTGAAGCTTGCTCGTTATTTAGGTATATTATCCATTTAATGCCTGCTTAAACTTATATGTCATACCACACCTCCCACTTTTATATGCAGTCAGATGATGATTGTTGTAACTCCTGTGAAGAAGTACGCGAAGCATATAGAAAGAAAGGCTGGGCAATGTCCAACCCCGATTTGATTGACCAGGTATGCTCATGTCTTGAACATTAGCTTACCTTGTACTCGAGCCCATAGATACATTTGTCTCATATTCAAGTGGCTTTGGTATTATAACATTGACGATTTGAGGGTGATATTGCTATTTAGCTGTAAAAATAAAAAATAAAAAAATTTGTTAATTTGCTTATGTAATAACATAACATGGATATTAGCTTCTTTAACGAAATAGATGTATTGTGTCATCTAAATTTTTTATTGAAATAGTAAATTTGCTTGTAATTATAGGTGTGCTGGAGTAAATTCAAGGAGTTTTGATTTATAACCCAAGTATTATTTTTAGTTCAGGTTTTTAATAAATTGAAATTTATAATAATTAATACATATAATTAAAAATAAATAAAAATTAGTGACCCATGAATTGACTAGATTGAGTGATGGAAATGGGGTAAGTCCAGGACCAGTTTCAAAACTATGCTTATATTTTATCACTTTGCAACATTTTGGATAATCTCCTTTCAATCTTCAGTTACTACTACTATAAAAATAAGAGTCTTGGTCTTGGTTAATGTGAGTTTTTCACTTTTGAGTTTTTCTCTATAGAGTCTAATATGTTGTGCACGGTGAAAATGTATTTTTAGAAGAGTAGTATCTATTACCGAATTGATTTCTTCTATGATGTAATACATTTTTGAAATGAAGTCCTCTGATTTGTCCTTTATCCCTATACTTCGTGGTTATATTCTTTACTTATGGGGATGTATTCAGTTTGGAATTTTAAATACTTAAAAAGTCAAAGTACATGTATTCAAGACCTTTTAAAACTTCATAAAATCTTCGGGCTATTCTATATAGACTTCTTAAAAGTTACGGAGTATTAAATCAAGACTTTTGAGAAGTCTTAAAATGTCACGGTGTTCAAAATGTCAATGACTTTTAGACCCCATTTGGTATCTATTTTTTTCTCTTCTGTTCAACCACACATTCTTTATTAAAATAATATTACACGTAAATCAAATTTTTTTTATTATTTTTCAACCACACATTTCTCATCAATTTACTATTCAAAAATGCATTTTTACATAAAAAGTCTCCCAAACACCCTCTTAATATTTTATGAAATCCTTCGCGTACTAACATTTAAGCAGAATATACAAATAAAAAATCTAAAAAAATTCTTACATTCACCTTAAGATTTTGAATGACATTCAACAAAAAATGTCTTTCCATCAATAATATTTCTATCTCTTCTTTCGCTCTACGAACCCTAAAGTCATGGTACAGAAAATCAATATTTTTCTCCCTCTTCAATCTATTGTTATTGACATTATTTTTATCATTCTCTTTTTAATATTCTCTATTTTTTTTCCTCTTTTTTTTATTATTTTCTCATTTTCTTTGAAAAAGAGTTGTAGATAAATATTCTTATTAGATTTTTCACTCTTTTCTTTTTCATGGTATCCACCAATTTTTCTATAGAGAAATCCATTTTAAATTAATATTTTACAAACTTGCTTATTTGATTTTAATAATTTTCTACAAGTTTAAACATATTGATAATATTGAACGTTAGATTTTTATTTTATTTTTTTACATCGAAGAGTATAGAAATGTTATATTGTATTTTGGTTGTTTATTTTTCTTATTTAGGTGACTGGTATTTTATATTCTTTTATAAAATATTTTTATTGACATAATAATATAATTTTGGTACTATGTATTGTGGATCACTTGGTCATGCAAATAGAGGTTCACAAAGATGAGCAATAATTTACATTCAAGATTTTTTTCCCCTCTAAAATGAAGTCATATGAATTATACAACAGTTTTTAAGAAAAGTTTATAGAAGTCATGAAGATTTTCATTCATTCTATAAAAAATTTATAAAAGTCAATAAAAGTTCATTAAACTCTACAAAAGATATTTACTTGAAAAAGTCATTTAAAGGTTTTAAAAAATCCAAACTGAATACACCCCCCTTAGCTCCTTGACAAGTTTCCATCCTTTTATTCGTTTGATTTTCCAACCGATGAAAATGTTCAGATATTCTTCATTCCTAGTACAACTTTACATCAGTATAAGTCGCCTATTGAAAATTAAAGTTAGTTTGCACTAATTTAATTCTCGGGAGTGTTGAACTTATGTATAGTAAATTCTTGGCATTGTTCTGAACTTCATACTCGCTCTGATTCCCTCATTTTCAACATTGAATCAGTGCAAAAGAGAAGGTTTTCTTCAACAGATTAAAGAGGAAGAAGGCGAAGGGTGCAATATATATGGATTCTTGGACGTCAATAAGGTAGCTGGCAATTTTCATTTTGCACCTGGGAAGAGTTTCCAGCAGTCGAACGTGCATGTTCACGATCTGCTGGCATTTCAGAAGGACAGTTTTAATGTAAGACTTGTCCTGATCCCTTCCTTTCTGGAATAGCAACTAAGATATTTCCACGGCATTTGTTATCAACAAACAAGATGCTTTCATTATTCAGCTCGTGATGTTAGTTGTTGTTGAGTATCTGGTTAACCAAATGTGTGATTGTGCAACAGATAAGTCATAAGATCAACAGATTAGCATTTGGGGACTACTTTCCTGGCGTAATAAATCCATTGGATGGGTAATTTATCTTCTCAGTTCATTTGATCATTTAAGTCTTGTATTTTAATCATTCCTCTTCAGATTCTTTGTCAATACATATGTAAGGATATTCTGCATTCTTGTCACTTCAATTTGCAGTGTGCTATGGGTACAACAAACACCAAATGCTATGTATCAGTATTTTCTGAAGGTTAGCAGAAATGATTAGATGTCAAATTTTTGTTGCATCTATTTTCTTCTCATTTTTTCCTTGCTGATTCATACATGCATTTCTTATTTTGGAAAGAAAGGTGCATTATGGCTATAGGCCCCCGGCTATAGGCCCCAATTTCCTATTACTCGCTAACATTTCTTCTTCAATATTTACCCCTTTTCCCTGATGGGAATTGCACGTGGAATTGTTCTTCATTGATTTGGCACATACAGGGCATGTTAAATAGTGTACTTGAGCAGATTTTGGCATCTTTTTGTATCTTAATATTGTCCGGTGTTGTAGAGTCCACCTACCGAATAAAAAAAAAAGCGAGAGTATTTTACAGTATTCAGGAGGAAGGATCATGACTTGGAAGTGGAAGTGTTTGGTTTCCTGTAGATCTGAAAAATGTGTATGGATCAGATCAGTGTCTTATTGAGGACCCCGAAGATTTGGCCCCCATTAAATTTCATTTCTTTACATCTCATTTTTCTTACTCCTATTTTCAACCACACAATCTTCCATAAAATAATGTTACACGTAAATCGAAAAATTTTCCTTCTTTTTCAACCATTCATTTTTCAAAACAACACTATTCCTCTCATTTTCATTTTCAATGAATGGGGGTCAAACGGGGGCTTAAGCTCCAGCTGCAATTTGAAGGTCGGATTTTCATGGTGAAGATGATAACGAGAGGGTGGTGTGTGTATCGTTAGACATCTGACTGGGGAGACAGTGATGTAGCTTGAATACCTTAGCTCTTACAAAGAACACACGTTTTGGGGTAGTTTGCTTCTATGTATTTTCCCTTGAGAGTGCTTACAATCACGTAATATGTGGAAAAAATGCAAGCATTGACAGAACATATGGCCTCAAGGAGCTTTTAACGTTGTTCTGTGCCAAAAAGTTTAGAAAAGTGAGTCAATGATATAATGACTGTTGCAAGACATAAAAGCTATGGTGGTGGACAGAAATTTGGCTCTGTGGGCACTATTGTGGTGGTAAGAACGAAAACTTTTTAATTTATATTTACGTTAAGCTGGGGCTTAAAGTATGCTGCAGGCTACTAGATTGTTAAATCTAACAGATATGACTTAATAGGAAACTTGTGCTACGTAGATAGATATGGAATAAGGCTTCATCGAGTTGAAATTTTAGTGGCATGCTACTGATGTGGACCTGTTGTATACTAATTATCGTGAATATTTAAATTTTTTATTCTGGAATGCAGGTGGTACCTACCGTATTCACAGATGTTAATGGGAATACCATCCAGTCAAATCAGGTCTGATTATGACTTTAAAACTATATTCTCTCAATTCTTTTTTCTCTCTTTCTTTACAAGTTTTTTTCTCTTCTACTTGACATAAGATTCATTAGCTACTGTCCTATTGCAGTTCTCTGTAACTGAACATGTTAAGGGATCAGAAGCGGGTCACCTTCAATCTCTTCCTGGAGTTTTCTTCTTTTATGACCTTTCACCAATAAAGGTGAGTGTTGCTTGACAAAATATAAGACAGAATATTAGTTTTATAAGTCAAACAATATTATTTTTGGTTCAATTATGCACACACTTCCTGGGCTTCAAATTAGTTTTTTTTCTTCCATTTTTTTGCTTGCTTTTAATTATAGTACACTTCAAATTTATATACAAGGTATTAAGCTAATGTGGTCTTGTAGCAGAAACAACATTGCTACTAGATATTCAGTCGCAGCATGTGTAAACTTCTGCTTATCTTTTAATATTACAGGTGACTTTCACAGAGACGCATGTTTCATTCTTGCACTTCCTGACCAATTTATGCGCCATTATTGGAGGTAATACTCTCTTTTCCTCCGACTCTTAATAAACAAAATGTTGATGTCAAGGAGGAAACAAGATTCGAGAATAATGCCAAACAACAAACACCCAAGTATTTCTTTATTTTCAGCTTTTCACACCTCAATGGTTGCTGGAGTTGTTTGATGAACTTGACATTTTTCCCTACAATTTTGCATCTTGCCTCAGGTGTTTTCACTGTTTCGGGTATAATAGACTCATTCGTTTATCATGGTCAAAAAGCGATCAAGAAGAAGATGGAGATTGGCAAGTTTAGCTGATGATTGATGCTCCTCCAATGTTATCGCTCTTTCTCGCTTCTTACCCATCAGCAACATCTTTCTTGGAAGGGAACAAAGATTTGGATCGAGCTATCCCTCGTAGGATAGAGTTTGAACTGATGTGTTTGTTAGTGAATCCACTAACTTTGTAGTTCATTTTATAGCAAGTCTTTTTGAGGATCTACAATGATATCTGTATTTGCATATTGATGTAAACCCTACAAGGTGAGAGGCTCTTTTTCACATTTCATGGCAGAATTTTTTGGAATTTTTAATTTGTAGAAAAATTATCTTCAAATTAACTGGCGATGTGATGAATATCTTGTCCTATTTGTCTTGAGTCTTTGTTTAATTGCGACCTTTATACGTATGCAGAGTGAATAAATACATAGTATAGTTAAAATTTGAGAGAGAGGAATTTGGTGTTCGTATCGACACCTCTAGGAATTATGCCTTGTTTTTGGTGTTTGTATCGACACCTCTAGGAATTATGCTTTGGCACTTTTAAACAATGAATTATATTTACATCCTACTTATCCTCCTTTACATTAAAAAAGAGGATGGCTGCATCATTGTTCACCTTGAGGCAGAGGTTTTCCACTGATCTCGTTTTGTACTATAAGTGAACTTGTTATGCACTATTGATGCAAAAAAAAAAAAAAAAAAAAAAAAAAAAAAAAAAAAGAGAATAATGAAATTTGATTGTATTAATTGTTACTGCCTTTGTTAACTATACATGCAAAAAAAAAAAAAAAATCTTTGGAGACAATGATGAAATTTGATTGCATTAATTGTTGCTGTCTTTGTTGACTTTATACAACCATCTAATGTCGGTTACCGTAACTTAGTTTCAAAAATATCTTCTGACTTCGTTGAATGCTGTACTTTTCAGAAATGAAATAATATAAATGTGAAAATTGTTCTTTATTATTACTTTTTCGTAAATCTTCTTCCAAAAAAGTTAAGATACTATTTCGCTCTCTCAAACGGAAGGACAAAAAATCAGTAAGATACTATTTCGCTCTCTCAAACGGAAGGACAAAAAATCGTTGAAGTATCGTAACGAGCTTTTTTAGGTTAGTTAGTTGTTATTGTTGTTTTTTTTTCCGTGTTACGATATTATGTATTATTTCTTTTTTTTCTTTGAAAAAGAGGGATTTTTTATGCCCTTTTTGGTTTTTTATTTTATAGTAGAAGTTCTCTAAGTTGTAACTTGTCTTTGGATGTTATGTTTTTGGACAGTTGTTGTAGCAAAAACTAACCATTCTTGTAGAATCATTGGCGTTGTTGCGACGGTAATTTTGGGTAAGTTTTATTACAAAATTTATTATTTTAATTGATTCTTTATAAGTTGTTGTATATATTTTACACTCTCTTCATTAAATGTTATTTAAATAACTTTTTACTTCATGATTATGTATTCTTTGGACGCAAATACTTCTCTGTGTATATTTGTTTTGTCTTCTTATTCATTTCTTTATAATCAGTTTGGGTTTCACACATGTAATATGTTATTTTTTCTTAATTGTGTTTATTCAGTATACTAAAAATTTATTTTAGTTTTCTGATATCACTTTAACAATATTTTGACACATACTAATGAGGCTAATATGCATGTGCTGAAGAAGAAAAATTATGAAATATCCACGATTAATTACAATTTTCTCAAAATAAATAATACAGATATAAATTGACGGGGTTTTTATATCAAATTCATTATACATTGTTTGAATTTTAATTATATAAATTTATTTATTTTGTTCGAAAGTATTGGAATGATTATTATATAATTTTGTTCTTGTATGTCGACACAGAATTTTTTTTATTCATTCCTGTAATTGACTTACTTATTTTTATAGTTATATTTTGTTTTTTAATATTATTTTTTACAATTATTTTTCTCCATTGTTGAAAGCTTTTCCATATATGCTTGGTTATCATTAATATTTAAATCTTTATGTAATTGATGTTATATAATTATTATATTGTTAGAAAATTTGAACAGTTTAATGTCTTTAAGAGTTTATTGTAACTAATTAATTTTAGCTAATTAATTTAGTCTTTGTTCGTGAATGGTTTAATATATTTGTTAATAATGTTCTTCAATTTTTTTACATCATGCTCCTTTCATTACAGTTGAAATCTACAATAATTATTTTGCTATTATAATGGATATTTTGGAAACGTTTGTTGATGAAAACCGTGTTATTGTTAACTTTGACATTGCGTCCGAAAGTGGAAATGAGTCACATAGAGCGTTATTCGTCAACAACGAGTTCAAAAAGAGAGGCGAAAAGACTTACGCTTCAACTTTAGATCAAGAAATGATCCTATGTTATCTGAAAAGAATGATTTTATCAATCGCCACTTAGATGAATCTATAATGCATCAACATCCTTACGCTTCAACTTTAGATCAAGAAATGCATAATATTGTCAGTTTTGAATTAGGAGAAACTTTCAAAGGATTAAATATATCATCTACTGCATATGTATTACCAACATTCAGCTACTATAAACATTGTAATGCACGTAAATTTTATAGAGAAAGTAAGGATTTTTGTTGTTCTGATGGAAAAGTTAAACTCTTTATATGTGACTCACCGGTTGAATTATATAATTTATTTATTTTTAAAGAACTACATTGTACGAAATTTAAAAAAATTGTAAGGGGATATAATAATCATTTTGCTTTCACTTCATTTGGTGTGAAGTACGATAAGGAACTTTTTAAAACGTATAAAGGTATTTACACGTTTAGAGTTCAATGACAAGTACATCATTATGTAAGTGACTTATGCCGAAAAATAATACACCTTCTTATATACAATTATATTTTTACGATACAGAAAATGAAGTTCAAAATCGTATGAACATTTCATCAAACTTTGTTGAATCTACTTTAATTGCTTTAATCGAAATCTTAAAAACAAATCCATATAGTAAATTTTTTAGGTCGTTAAGTGATATCACTAACTTACATGATCATCAAATACAAATACGATACGATCCAGGATTTGATCAAAGAGTTTTCAATACTCCTACAACATCTCAAGTAGCTGCTATATGGGTCGAAGATAATGAAAATACTAATGTTCGTACTCATGACATTTCTATATATGGCCATTCTGACAATTCACACAAAGTTCATTACTATTATCGGTGTTATGATCCATTGCAATATCCGTTACTGTTTCCGTATAGGGAATCTGATTGGCATGAAGGCATTGAGAGATGCAGAAGTATATACTTTCAGCCTCAACATATGTTGAAATCTGATGTTATTCTTAACACAGCTATTTCTGCAACTGAAATTATCGAAAATGAGAAGGAAGGTTTGCAAATATATATTCTATTAGAGTTCTCTATATTTTTTTAGTATCTTATCTTATCAATAAATGTTGAATTTGGTTTGTATTTGGGTTCTATAGTGCTCGGTGAAGCGAAGAAACGTACTCAGGTATCTTGTCGAGAATACTATTCATATAAATTACAAATTAGGCTTTCTGGTAAGTTTGTGTTACTTCACGCTGGTAGATTACTTCAACAATATGTTGTAGATATGTATGTTAAGATTGAAACTGCCAGGTTAGACTATTTTCGTAATAATCAGAAACAAATTCGTGCTAAACTTTACCAAGGCATTGTAGATAGTGTAAAAAATGGGGAAACTAGAGAATGTAAAGTTGGAAGAAAATTTGTTTTACCACAATCTTTTACATGTGGGCCTCGTGATATGCTAAGAAGATATATGGATGAAATAGCCATTGTACAACGTTATGGAAAATCAGATATATTTTTAACTATAACATGTAATCCAAATTGGTTAGAGATTAAGCAAGAACTAAAGAATAATGACGAAGTTCAAAATCGACCTGATTTAATTGTACGTATATTTAGAGCAAAATTAGAAAAATTGAAACATGATTTATATAAAGTAAGTATTTTAGGGCTTGTTATTGCACATATATATGTGATTGAATTTCAAAAAAGAGGATTTCTTCATGCTCATATGTTGTTAATATTTAACTCTAAAAATAAAATCACTAGTGTTGAAGAAGTTGATAGAATTGTATCATGTGAAATTCCTGACAAAATGAAATACCCTCATCTTCATTCTGTTATTGTTAGACACAATGTGCATGGTTCTTGTAGAAACTTGAATTCGAAAAAAACATGCATAGAGGGAAATAAAGGCTGTAAAAATAAATACCCTAGAGATTTTTGTAATATTACTGTATTTGGTCAGGATTCATATTCATTATATAAGCGTCATGATACTAATATTTCTGTTCGAGTTAGAGGCAAAATGTTAGACAATCGATGGGTTGTATCATACAATCTTTATTTAAGTGCAAAATTTGACTGTCATATTAATGTCGAAGTATGTTCTTCTATCAAATCTGTCAAATATTTGTACAAGTATGTTTACAAAGGACATGATCGTATCAATTTTTCAGTTCACACGAATGAAATAGAGAAAGAAATAGATGAAATTTCTGCTTATCAATCTGCTAGATGGATATCTCCACCAGAAGCTATGTGGAGGATTTTCTCGTTCAATCTATCAGAAATTTGTCCGACAGTCTATTCTTTACAGCTTCATATCGAAAATCACCAGCAAGTAATGTACGACAATGAAGATAATTTATATACTGTTGTTCAAAATGAAAATACAAGAAAAACAATGCTAACAGAATTCTTTCGAATGAATGAAGAAAATGAGTTTGCGCGTATACTTTTGTACCGAGGTTTTCCAACACATTTCGTTTGGAATACGAACAAAAAAGTTTGAAATTGTATAAAGAAATAGGTTGTTATAGGACGAATTGTTACAGTAAATTCATCTGAAGGAGAACGATATTATCTTCGTGTTCTTATGAATCATATTCGAGGTCCAACATCATTTAAGATTTACGAACTTCAAATGGGATTACTGTTGTCACATATCGAGAAGCAGTACTTCTACATGGTTTATTGAGTGGAGATAACCATTGTGAAGAATGTCTGTCTGAAGCTATTATTTACGAAATGCCTATTTGTTTAAGACGTCTTTTTGCTACTCTTCTTGTGCTCTGCAACCCTAATGATCCAAAGTTATTGTGGAATAAATTTAAATTTTATATAATTGATGATTATATATTTAGAAATATACCTTCACATGTTGCAAAAACATAAACGACTATAAAATTGTACCATTCAATATAGATATAAATGAGAATGATAGATTAAGAAAAATGGTTGAAGATGAAACAACAAATTTGAATCTCGAAGGAGGCCACGTTTATGCATCAAGCTTAAATGACATACAACAATTTGCATATGATACAATTATGGAAAA